ATCAGTAAATGTTTTAAGTCCTCTTCACTTTCAGCAAGCAAGGTTGTATCATCTGCATATCACAGGTTGTTAATGAGTCTTCCTCCAATCCTGATACCATGTGTTTTTTTGTTTTTTTTTTTCATAGAACCCAGCTTCTTGGGTTATTTGCTCAGCATACAGGTTGAATAAGTATGGTGAAAGAATACAACACTTGTACTATATACCCTATAAATAAATTCTCTTAAACTTCATTGAAAATCTTTTGAAAGTCTTAGGAAAGATATAGATGAAAAATATGATTTAAAGGTCTCTCTGAGAAAACAGCACAACAGATACAAGTATGACTTAAGAAATTCATGAACCCCATATTCATCCATGACTTTTAGACTTTTAGAACCCGTGATAGAAGTAGCACTTGATATTGTTCTCTAGTTATCTAGTAATATACATGCAGACAGAGGAACATCTATCTATTCAACATATACAAGAGAGTATAAAATAATAAAAATATCATAAGAAGCCATCTGTAAGTTAGGGTTCTGTGTCAACTTGAGTAGGCCAGGATTTCCAGCAGTTTAGCAGTTGGGATGTGCTTATTCCTATGATGATGAAACCTAATACAGGCATAGTTAACTCTATGATGATTTGCTATAAGCAGGCAATCGATTGAAAGGATGTTTCCTTGAGTTTGACCTGTTCCCAATATAAGGGACACAAGAGAAAGGCTCTCTCTTCTGTTGGGGACCTGGGACTCTCCATTGTAAGTCATTTCCTTGATAATAAACTTCTCTCTTGATATATACTTAAATATGTTTCACTGGTTTTGATTCTCTAGAAAACCTGGCCTAAGATGCCATGTGAATATATTCATCCAACGCTGGATGAAATTAACAAATTTCTTGGGAAATATATAGTACCAAAGTTGACACAAGAAGAAATAGAAGATGATGAACACCAGTAAGAATAAAAGGAATTGAAATCGTGTCCAAAAACTCTTCTTCACACACTCCCACACCCAAAAGATGGCTTTTCAAGTGAACTTTACCAAACATTCCATTCTCACCCAAGTTTCTATTAAACCTTTGCTTATCACATTCCATTTGCACACAATACTCACCACAAAAGGAAGTGGTTGCCAATCTACTTCTCTCTAGTGGAGGGGCCCATTTGCTCCATATCCCATGACAGGCTGGGTAAGTGACGCCCTTTGGTGGGAAAAAACTATTTATCACCATTGAAATCTTAGGGTTATGGAAATTTAGTACCAATGTTATTTTCTATAGGATGAGTACAAGGTCCTAAGGAAAACTGCTGTCCATGGACTCCTCTGCCTCCTGGAAATACTATGTAGAAAGCTTTTAACCTAGGCCAGATAAGACATGGCCATTTTTTAATGGCAAGTACAAATTCTCCTCAGTCTCCAGTTATGCCTTTCACCTCCATTTTCTTCCAGATTAAAGTAACAGAAAATATTTAACATTGCACAATTAATCTTTAATTCTGAATATCTTGAGTAATTTGGGGTACCTTTTAGGGAGGTACTAAGCTCAGTGATTCCCAAAGAAAAGGACTCCATCCATGGGAAGCTAACATTCAGATTCTTGGAACTCAAACTAATTTCAAGTAGTATCTGAACTCTAAGCCTTATAAAACAATTAGTATTTTCCTATTATTTTGATCTTGCCACTATTTGATTTATGCAGGGTAGGGCAGGAAAGATATTGTTTTAAGTGCATTAAAATTTTCTCTGATTTACCTAACTCCATGGAAAAAGAAGGGACTCTAAGTAAGCCAAATTCAGTTAAATGGTACTTTGAGTATCTGTGTGCTGCTGGAGCAAATAGTGATTATTACAGTAAGACAGGCAGTATAGTAATTCAATGACATTGTTGTTGTTGCTAAGTGCTGTTGAGTCAGTTCCAACCCATAGCCACCTTGTGTAAGGTTTCCAAGCAGTGACTGGCGAGTGTGAACCTCTGACCTTGGGGTTCAAACCCACTTTGTGGTCTAGTGCTTATCCTACAATGACACATGATGACTCCATTCAATGAAATATGTCAGTGAAAATTTAAATGACTTTATTCAAAGTCAGCAAGAGCGCTGTCTAAAACTCTGAAAAAAGTATTAATTCATTAACAAAAGATAAACTAAATCATTATTTATCTTAACAAAAGATATACTAAAGAATTCACACCACCTGTACCAAATCTGAATATACTCATCAAGGGAATGAATCACTTGATTTGGGGACTCAGAACTTCAACCTCTGGAGACATATAAGTCAATTGGTATAGCATAGTCTGCAAAGACAAAGTTCTGCAGTCTACTTTGTTAAATAGAAAACTGGGGTCTTAAAATGTTACAGGTGGCCATCTAAGATACAACTATTGGTTACTCCTCATATGCAGCAAATAAGAGTGAAGAGAATCCAAGACTCAAGGAGACAATTGATCCAAAGGACCAATGGACCTCATGGCTTACAGCCTCCACTACCCTGAGACAAGAGAAACTAGATACCTAGTTATACTACCAAGTGCTCTAATCAGGATCACAACAAAAGATCCTGGACAGAGAGGGAGAAGAAATAGAGCACAAAATTCAAAATAATTTTTAAAAACACTAGATTTACACACCTCTAGGAGGGACTGGAATATTTATTTTAATTCTTACTATAACACGTTAAGAGAAGTATCTTTTTTATTGTTTGTTTGTTATTGTTCTTAATATAAATACTCACTAAAACATTTATTTCATCCCACTCAATTCTGAAGGAGAGATAAGTAGTCAAAATTATAATTTAGCATTGATATCTAGAAAATATAGGATTATTTGCCTTATCCAATTTCTTTTTTTAATTTTAATTCTACATATACACAGCCTAATCAAATATATTTATTTATAGATCAAGACAAAGATAATCTTCTGTATATCATTAACATGTCCTTTAAAAATTATTTTATACTGCAGTTGCATACCTCAACAAGTCCCTGTAAGATTCTTACAAAGATGACACACCCATAATGCACTCTGGCTGCTGATGGGATTAGCATATTCAGGGTAGAGGTAAGAAGTATGGCTGCTCCAAAGACCCTGAAACAGAAAGGGAATTAAAAGATTGGTAACACTGCTCAAGTAATTTATTATTTTACATGTACAAACCTAAATTTGTCAATTCACATTACATATTTAAGGTAATTGACAACCACAAGCAATTTGAAAATAAATTGATTCACTAAAAGTATAAAATATGTTCTGAACTTAATTTGGACTATGCATACTTGGACTATGGTAAAATTGTACATTATTGAAAACATAAGAAATTATATTCCAAGGTATCTGTTTTCATCATATAACTTATAGTAAATTGTAAATAGTGAATGATTCATTGTATATGTTTTTGTTCTATATCCATCTACAATACAATCTGCAAAAAAAGTAATAACCTATTTTTCATGCCCACTAGTATATTTCCTTATATCTATTCAGCACATGGCACAGTGTCAACACATAGTAGCATTCACTAAAGAATTTCTGAAAGAATAATTTATTCATGAATGAATACAGTTATGGCTTACATTAAGCAACTATTTGCAACTTCCCTAGAAGCTACACATCCAAAGGTAATATATGAGTGAAATCCTATTTTAAGTGCCCCCAAGAAATCTTATGACTAGATGCTATAGCACACACTTTTATAATACAAATTTACTGTTAGCTTCTCTTGAGTTGACTTCTACTTATTGTTGTTGTTGTTAGGTGCCATCGAGTTGGTACCAACTCATAGTGACCTTATGCACAGCAAAATGAAACAATGTCCGATCCTGGGCCAACCTCACTACTGTTGCCACACTTCAGTCCATCGATGCTGCCAATCCATAGTGACCCTGTGTAGGGTTTCCGAAGAGTGGCTGAGGAGCTTAAACAGCTGACATTGCAGTTCAAACCAACTTTACAGTGCAGTGTGTTAACCCACAGCGCCACACCAGGACTCCAATGTTGTGGACAGGTGGTTAAAATTCAGAAGTTAGTTAACATATCCATGAACAATCTTATTTGCTGTTGATTAGCTGGATAGCTGTCATCTATTCTGGTGAAACAGAAACTAGGAATGATATTTAAATTTCCCAAGACCATGCTGATAATAAATGACAGAATTGAATTTAGACTCAGATCGTTTGATAGCTATTTAACTTATTTTAACTATGACATATACAACTCAGTGACATTAGAATTAAATTCACCATGTTGTGTAACCATCACCATTTTCCATTTTCATATCTTTTTCATCATCCTTAACAGAAATTCAGTACCTCTGTAGTGTAGTGAATTATTTAATGTCTTTTTTAGCCATAGTCTGTAGTCCCACTGAACAATTTTTGGCCTATTGGGTCTGGTTAAGAGAAGGTGTAAGAGGATGCTGATAGAATAATATCATTCAGTTATAAGTGGTTAACAGAGTTACCCATGATTGAAAAAAACGTGAAACTTATATAAAATGAGCCATCGCAGAAGCAAGAAGGGACATCTCACTACTATCAAAAGAGAAGAACCAGGAATGAAGCACATTCTTTGGACCTTGAGGTCCTTGCTCATTGAGGCTTCTTTTTTTTTTTTTTTGACCCAGGGACAGAAAGCTGTGACAACAGAAAGGTGACAGAGAAGCAATAAACAACAGAACCAAGAGTCAAGCACAAGTCAGAGAGGTGGTTTTCCCCGCCCATGGAGCAAGTAAAGGTGAGTGACTTTGGGTAGCAGGTTTGCTTGTAGAGTGGGGTGCCTCCAGGCATTGAATTGGGGAAGCTAGGTATGCTGACTCATGGAGCTAGGCAGAGTACCTTCAAGCTGCGGCTTTGGTGGAATGGTGTGCCCTGTGGGTATTTATCAATAGCCCTCAAAGAACTTTGTAGCATCCTGCAGACAGAGGCCTGCCTGTGGTCACAGCTGAGGAGAGGCTGTCATGACTGACCAAACTGTACCTTGAAAATCTCTTACCATACAGAACCTGTTAACTTCCCTAATAAAGCCTATGATTTTGAGTACGGTATCTGAGTTCTGCTTGACCATTGCAATAAATTATCAAACCCACCTGAGAAGTACACTATGCCACAGGATAGACGGTTGGAGCCATTTTATTCCAGCCACTTAAGTAATGTTTCACATTTCCCAGTTCCACCTACCCTTGGTAACTATTAATAATCTTGAAGTCCTGGTGTGGCATTGTAGGATAAGGACACAACCTCAAGGTGGATTTGAACTGCTAGGTCAGTGGTTCAAACTCACCCATTACTCTTCTGAAAGCTCCTACAGGCTCACTATGCAATGGAACCAGTCAACAGCACTTAACAACAACAAGAAAACTAACCACAAAGTCAGCAGCTCAATCTCACCAGCTATTCCTCAGAAACCCTTTCTATACAAGGTCACTATGAGTCGGAACCGACTAGACAGCACTCAACAACAGCAAAAACAACATGCATTTGCGTATTCTAGATATTTTAAATAAATGGTACCATTTAATATTGGAGTACTAGTATGGCACTGTGGGTTAATACGCTGGACTGTAAAATCAATTTGAACCACAAGATTGGCGGTTTGCTCCTTGGAAACCCTATAAAGAGTCACTATGAGTTGGAAACAACGCAATGGTACTAAACAACAACAAACAACAATATAATGTTAGTCTAATTGTATCTGAATTATTTAATTCCGCATGTTTTCAAGGTTATCTATATAATAGCTTGTATTAGGTCCATTTCTCTTTATGGTTGAATACTATTCCATTATATGGATATACCACATTTTGTTTATCTGTTAATCTGTTCATGGATACGTGGACTGTTTCCACTTTTGTTGTTGTAAATAATGTTGCAATGAATATGGGTGTAAAAGTATATTCTTGAGTCCCCATTTTTCAGTATTTCCAGTAGATACCTAGGAGTGGAATTTCTGGGTCACATAGTAAATTTTAAGTCATATGTTGATTTTGTGAGGAACTGATGATCTGTTTTCCACAGTGGCTGCATCATTTTACAATCCCATCAGCAATGGATGAGGGCTGTAATTTCTCTATATCCTCACTAATACTTATTGCTGTCTTCTTTTTTTTTTTTTTTTGCTGTTATCAGCCAACTGCCCCATGGGTTTCCAGTACTATAATCTTTATTGAAACAGACTGTCATATCTTTCTTTTGCGGAGTGGCTGGTGAGTTCAAACCACTCACCTTTTGGTTAGGAGCTGAGCACTTAACAACTGTGCCACCGGGGATCCTTTTTCTGATACTACGTATTCCAAATCATAATGTCTTGGAGTGCAGATTGGGGTCTTTGTTTTAATAAGCAATCCAGGTAATGATTTTGCATGCTATGTTTTAAGAACTAGCACCTTAAAATTTCCCTCCGTGTGTATCTAATACATAATATTCTTTTCTTATAATGAGTTGAAGGTATAATGCATAAATTTGATTTTCAAAGATTAGAACGTTCAGTAACACCAGTCTCCCTCTTTGGAGTGTTTTAAAATACTCATGTCTCTATAGAAGCTGAATAATTTGATCTGTTCTTTAGTTGAGGGTTTCTGAAACTCTACCATTGACACTATTGACAGGAGTCTTGGTATGGCCCTACAGGATCATGTGCTGGATTACAAGGTAGGATTGAACTGCATGGTCAGCAGTTCAAACCCACCAGCTGCTGCTCAGAAACCTTACACATGGTTGCTATAAGTTGGAATCAACTTGACGGCACTTAACATCAACAACATTTATTGACAAATAGGGTCTGCCCTATTTATAATAGAATGTTCAATAGTATCACTGGCCTACATCCAGTAGCCAAATTCAAGCTGGATTCAGAAGAGGATGTAGAACCAGGATTGCTGACATCAAATGGATCTTGGGTGAAAGCAGAGAATACCAGAAAGATTTTTACTTGTGCTTCATTGACTATGCAAAGACTTTTGATTGTATGGATAATGACAAGCTATGGACAGCATTGAGGAGAATGAGTATTCCAGAACACTTAATTGTGCTTATGAGGAACCTGTACATAGACCAAGAGGCAGTTGTTCAAAAAGAACAAGGGGGACACCAAATGGTTTAAAATTAGGAAAGGTGTGTGACAGGGTTGTATTCTTTCACCATACTTATTGAATCTGTATGGTGAGCAAATAACCCCAAAAAACTGGATTATATGAAGAAAAACATAGCATCAAGATTGAAGGAAAACTCATAAACAACCTGTGATATGCAGATGATACAACCTTCTTGCTGAAAGTGAAGAGGACTTAAAATACTTATTGATGAAGATCAAAGACCGCAGCCTTCGGAATGGGTTGCACCTCAACGGAAAGAACACAAAAATCCTCACAACAGGGCCAATAAATAGTATCATAATAAAAGGAGAAAAGACTGAAGTTGTCAAAGACTTCATTTTCCTCAGATCAACCATAAACAATCACGGAAGAAGTTGTCAAGAAATTAAATAATGTATTGCATTAGACAAGTCTGCAGCACAAGACACCTTTAAGATGTTAGTTTGAGGACTAAGGTACACCTAACCCCAAACACAGCATTTTCAATAGCCTCATATTCATGCAAAAGTTTGACAATGAATAAGAAAGATAATAGAAGAAGTGATGCATTTTAACTATTGTGTTGGAGGAGAATATTAAAGGTACCATGGGCTGACAAAAGAACAAACCAATCTGTGTTGGAAAAAGTACAGGCAGAATGCTCCCTGGAAATCAGGATGGTCAGATTGACCTCATACTTCAGACATACTATCAGAAGGGACTAGTCACTGGAGAAGGATATCGTGCTTTTTAAAATGGAGGGTCAAAGAAAACGAGGGAAACCCCCAACAAGATAGATAGGCACAGTGGCAGTGGCAATAGGCTGAAATATAGCAATGATTGTCAGGTTAGCACAGCACCAAGCAGTGTTTGTTTTGTTGTGCATAGGGTCACTATGACTCAGTATCAACTGGAGGGCACCTACCAACAAAAACATACCCAACAGTTCACTTTCTCCAATTTTGGCAACTAAAAATATCTGTAGACATTGGAAAATCACCCCTCAGTAAAGATGAAAAAA